AAAAAAAAAAAAGAAAGTAGAAAAATCTGACAAATACTACAACATGGATAAACTTTTTTATTTTTTTTAAAGATTTTTATTTATTTGTCAGAGAGAGAGAGAGAGAGCAAGCACAAGCAGGGGGTAAAAACAGGCAGAGGGCGAAGCAGACTCCACACTGAGCAGGGAACCCAATGTGGGACTTAATCCCATGACCCTGGGATCATGACCTGAGCTGAAGGCAGCCACTTAACTGATGGAGCCACTCAGGCGTCCCAACATGGATGAACCTTGAGGACGTTATGCTAGGTGAAATAAGTCAGCTATAAAAAGACAAAAATACTGGGCGCCTGGGTGGCTCAGTCGTTAAGCGGGTGCCTTTGGCTCAGGCCAGGGTCCTGGGATCGAGCCACACATGGGGCTCCTTGCTCAGCCGGAAGCCTGCTTCTCCCTCTCCCGCTCCCCCTGCTTGTGTTCCCTCCCTCGCCGTGTCTCTCTCTGTCAAATAAATAAATAAAATCTTTTTAAAAAATAAACAAATAAATAAAAACTTAAAGAGATTTGTTTTTGTTTTGTTTTGTTTTTTGCAAATGAGATCTATCATTTTTTTTCTTTTACTCTTAAATTACCTTCAAGCATCGGCTCCACTTAATCTGTTGCTAGAAATGGTATGACATTCTGATATCTAAGGCTTTACTTCCAACTACGTTAAAACTCATTTTAAGTCCAATTTTATTAGTCTAGATTCAGTGGTGTAAAATTTGACCAAAAAACACTTTTTCCCCCCAAACAAAAATTTAAAAAAAATTTCCTGATAAAGGTGGCTGACTGTGCCCAGACTGTTTTTACAAACAATATGGTTTCTGCTGAACACTGATTTTCCTTCTGGGAATCTGAAATTTTCAGTAGGTGCTGGCAAACAGTGCCTATGTACCCAGATTCTAGTAAAAACCTTGGGCACTGAGTCTCTAATAGGCTCCCCTAGGCAAAACATCACATGTATGTTGCCACATTTTCATTGCTGGGGGAAGAGCGAGCTCTGTGTGACCATTCATACTAGAGAAAAAGCATAAGGAAGCCTGCAGATAGATTCCTCCAGATTCCAACAGTCTCTCTCTCATTTATGATCCAGCTGTGTAAACTTATGCTTCTGTAATAAATCTTAGTTGTGAGCACAACTATATGCCAAGTCCTATGAATTCATTTAACAAATCTCAGAACGTGCGAGTAGTACTGGGCTCCCGATTCTACGACAAAATGCAAACAACTCAAATATCCATCAAGAGCAAAAAGTACAAATTGTGGTATATTCCTACAATAAAATACTATATAGCAATTAAAATGAACAACCTCAGCTCTGAAAAACAGAAGGTACTGAATCTAAAATGATGAAAAAGTCAATTATTATATTTTGCCTTGTATGAAAGTGGTTTCTTCTACACTAAGACTGAGAAATCTTTTAAGGTAGCAGTTCTTTTTTTTCTCCATAAGATTTTATTTCTTTATTTGACAGAGAGAGAGAGCACAAGCAGGGGGAGCGGAAGCGGGAGAGGGAGAAGCAGCCTCCCGGCTGAGCAGGGAACCTGATGCAGGGCTCAATCCCAGGACCCTGGGATCATGACATGAGCTGAAGTCAGACGCCTAATTGAATGAGCCACCCAGGTGCCCCTAAGGTAGCAGTTCTTCAACTTTTAAGTCTCAGACTCCCTCTAATTCATGTGGGTTACATCTCTCAATGATCCCAAGATTAGAAATTAAAAGTTGAGTACTTGAAAACTATTTATTATTAATTCATTTCAAAATAACTATGTTTTGCCCAAAAATGTAGTTAAGAATGGCACTGTTGTTACAGTTTTGCAAGTCTCTTTGACACCTGGATTATAAAAAGACAGCTGGGTTCTCCTATCTACTGCATTTAATACACTGCAACAACCCTTATCATGCAGCTTCTAGAAAATTCCACAATATGCTCAGGATAGAGTAAGAATGAAAAGGCAAGTAACATCTATTATTTTAATTTTTTAGGTAGGCTGCATGCCCAGTGTGGAGCCCCATGCAAGGCTTGAACTCACGATGCTGAGATCAAGAGTCGGACATATAACCAACTGTGCCACCTAGTCGATCCACATTTTAGTTTTATTATGAAAATAGGGGCACCTCGGTGGCGCAGTTGGTTTAGCATCTGACTCTTGGTTTCAGCTCAGGTCATGATCTCAAGGTTGTGAGATGGAGCCCTGCGCTGGGTTTTGCACTCGGCACATAGTCTGCTTCAGATTCTTTCTCCCTTTCCCTCTGACCCTCCCACCCAGGCTCGATTACTCTCTCTCTAAAATAAATAAATCTTTTAAGGGGGGGAGGCGCGGAGAAAACAATTTTGACCTCCTGGACTTCCTGGAAGGCTTTGGGGAAATCCCAGGAGTCCCTGATTACACTTTGAGAACTACAACATTAAGGTTTAGTACTGTGATTTACATTTATCATAGGTAAAGGCCAACATGCACGACCATGGCGTGCTTTTTCAAGAGGTGTTATCTTGAAGAACTCAATTTACAAACATAGTGAACTCTCAGTACTTTCCTTATATACATCAGAGTCAAACCCCACCCAGATGTCTATGTCAGAAAATCATTACCACACTCACTATAGAAAGAAAAATTAGGTGTACATTGAAAATTCTAAAAGAAACTCCAGGGCGCCTGGGTGGCTCAGTTGGTTGAGCGACTGCCTTCGGCTCAGGTCATGATCCTGGAGTCCCGGGATCGAGTCCCGCATCGGGCTTCCTGCTCAGCAGGGAGTCTGCTTCTCCCTCTGACCCTCTTCCCTCTCGTGCTTTCTATCTCTCATTCTCTCTCTCTCAAATAAATAAATAAAATCTTAAAAAAAAAAAAATAAAAGAAACTCCATTTGCATGAGGAGCTGAAGAATGTAATCCCTTTGATCCCTTAGACTATGGGATTTTAATTTCACAAATTACTATTTTGAAAATTAAACTCCCTGCTTTTCTTTTCTCTCAGGTTTGGAAACAATGCACTGGACACTGAATATATTATATTACAAAACCTTGCATTAACTTGGTTGAACCTCAGTGGCCTGCTGAAACTCAGTCTTTAGATAAATTCAAAGCTGCTTATTGGAATTAAATCAATACCCTAAGAAACAATAACGTAAACATTCTAGATTTGTTTCTTTAATAAACATTGTTATCCATAACTGAAACCCGTAATTCTATACTTTTATACAAGTTATATTAACTATATTGTCTGTAGATTTTGCCATGTTGCTACAGGTTTGCTGGCTTTGGTTCTGAGCCACACACTTAAGTAGCTGTGGACAGTGACGCTGTACTTACCACCAGTGCTAGAACAAGAGTCCGCACCTTCTCCCCAATCTCAGGTGAGATGTCATTGCCAAACTGTTGCAGAGTGGTAAGGAAGCGTTTCAATTTGCTGAGCTGCCGAGCACCACAAGTGGCTGGTAACTGTTGATTTGTTAGTGCAGATGATGTGGAAGAGGCAGGACCATTGCTGAATCTCTGTGGTGGTGATGGGGCACCATTCAGGGTAGGAGGAGAATGGTTGATACCATTGCTTACTATAAAAGAAAGCCAAAAGGAAAGACTCTTTAAGTGCAAAACACGTGGGCGTTTGTTAATTTCTTCGTGTTTGCATTAACCGTCCTTTATTCATTTGAATTTTGTAAAGCACATGTTAAGAGTATACAAGAAATTTTTTCTGCTGTCAATGAGACTACTGCATAATGAGACAGACTACCAGGTAAAAACTGGTAACCAAATAACAAAGACGTGTTACAACAGTAGAGTATGGACTGTTTTAAGAATACAGAGAACGGATATCTAACTACAGTTCCTGTGGGCAGGGGTAGGTAGTATTAAGATTTCTTGCAACAGGTACTACATGACATGAGTCTGGTAGAACACCCATTTCCGGGGCGCCTAGGTGGCTCAGTTGTTAAGCGTCTGCCTTCGGCTCAGGTCATAATCCTAGGGTCCTGGGACCGAGTCCTGCATCAGGCTCCCTGCTTGGCAGGGAGTCTGCTTCTCCCTCTCCCACTCCCCCTGCTTGTGTTCCTGCTCTCCCTATCTCTCTCCCTCTCTCTCAAATAAATAAAATCTTTAAAAACAAATAAACAAAAGAACACATATTTCCATTGACTGGACACTTGCACACATCTTTTATGTTCCTTCCTAATCTTAGGGCTCCAAAGAAGTTAAGGAGTGAGTTAAAATGTAGCATACGAACAGACAACCAGAAACCAGAGTTCTCTTTAAGTGAAAAACGGTTTTTCTTTCTTTTTTATTTTTTTTTGAAAAATGTTTTTTCTAGGCTATAGATTTAATGACCTATTCCTGCAATAAGATATATACCTCATGGACCATTCAGGATATTCACGCCCATCAGTCAGTTTCTCCGTGCCCCGACAGTGCTATATTAATGCTGCCAAATTCTTGGTCATTCAGTAAAGCATTTTCTAGATACTACACAGAACATATCAATTTTCTGTTCCTGCACAAATTATACTACATGTGATTAATTGCAGTTTTCCTATTTTCCCATTGTTCTTAGTCATTTGTTGCTAAGTTTTAATTTGGAACACCACCCTAAAGCTAAGTTCTCAGAGGTATTAAGTAAAAATCTCCTTCACTGAACAGCGAAATAAAATTACCTGGTGCCTGTCAGTAGATTTTTCACTTAATCATACATAGACTTGAAAGTCTAGGAAGGTAAAATTAAAACATATGTCTAAAAACAGAAACAATTTAAGTCAAGACTTAAGCCAAATTATTTAATCTTTACTTAACTTAGAAAACTGACATTTACTTATATTGGGCTCAACGCCAAGTCATTAATCATGAAAAATCTTTCACTTCCCTTCTTCTTCCTCCAAGCCAGATATAGTTGGTCAGTCCTACTGTTCCTACTTCTTGACTGGCCCTGATTGAAATTTCATCTGACAAACTTTTCCTCAACCTATATACATTCAGATATCACCTGTATTAATTAATATTCTTGGGCACCTGGGTGGTTCAGTTGGTTAAGCGAGTGCCTTCGGCTCCGGTCATAATCCCAGGGTCTTGGGATTAGAGCCCTCCATCAGGCTCCTTATTCAGTAGGGAGCCTGCTTCTCCCTCTCCCCCTCCCCCCTGCTCGTGCGCGCGCTCTCTCTCTCTCTCTCACATAAATAAATAGAATCAAAGGGGAAAAAAATAAAACATTCCTTTAATAGATTCTGTTGCGGCACATTAAGGTAGATTTAATAACTGGTAGATTTAATAACTCTTCTCTGTGCTGCCTATAAATGCTTCCACTATGTTACTTAGTTCTCTCTGTATTTGCACTGTCTTAATAGACTGTGCACTTCGTGATGAACACTATGTTATACAGCTGTATATACTATAATTAGCAGAGTTTTGTAAACTGTGTATACCATATATATATAATATATATATAGGTTCTGCTCATTAGCTAGCAAAGTGTGTTGAGGAAAAAACTGCTGAATGATTTACTACATGAAAGACTAACAGGCTGAGAAAGCGAGGGTTAATTTTTTTTTGTATCTTCCATTAAAAAAGATCACTAGAACTATTGGAAAGGAAAGCTTAACACTCAACAGCCTCAGCAATCCAGAAAATTAGTTGCAATGATCTGCTATTTCTTTGTGTTCACAGAAAGGTCAATTGCCATTGAAGAACTGCCCTCTTGGAAGAAACCCATAAAAATAATATATTATTGTGCTTTTTTAGCCAATCCGACAATAAGACAGGCTTTTTCAGTCTCTTTCGTTCAAGTGTATGAGCACATTTTCCAAAATAAAACATATCTACCACCAAGTAGTCAACTATGGAGGTAAAAAGGGCTGAGTTTACATATACATATTCCTACTTTCTATCTTGAAATGTGAATGATAGCCTAGTTGTTTAAATCTGTTCATTTCAAGATAGTACCTATATATAAGGATGTATGACTTTAAGATAGAAATGGAATTTTTAAAAAGATATAAAACTTAATTTCATCCACTCTGGCTCAGACTGTTGCAGTTGCCACTCAATTTCAAATGTATTGGAAATATAATAATTAAACCTTCTGTTAAAGCTGTACTTCTTAGATTTTTCTCTTGTCTTTTAAAATAATAAAAGCAAAACCCGTAATGTTTGAGCGAAGACAGTTGTGTAAACTTATGTAACAGCATTTAAAAAAAGAAAATGTCATATAGCACCTAGCTCAGTGCTCTGACAAATTACGGGCACTCCACAAATAGCAAGTGTCTTCTGCTTTATGAGGCAAAATATCTGTAAGAGAGTCAACATGCACTGGAGGTATCATGGGCATGGAAACGCAGAAAAACTCAGATTAAAATCTAGACATGTATGTATGTATGTTTAGATTTCACATTCAGTTTTCTTCTAATTTTTTATTTGTTTGTTTGTTTAAGTATACACATATGTAGGACTGACTGCGGAGTTAAAGGGTTTCTGAAAATTCAACTTTGGTAAATACTACCAAACAATTTTCTCATACTCAATGCATGGAGTGTTCAGGTAACTGCACACAGGCTCACCAAAACTTGGTATTCTTTTCAATTTTGAACATTCTTTCAGATGTATATGGTATTACATTGGGTTTTAGTTTGCATTTCCTTGATGGCTAGTAAGGTTGAAAATCTATTATATGTTTATTGGCTAATATAATTCTTATGGACCAAATTATGTCCCCCACAAATTCCTATGTTCTAGTTCTAATCCCCAGTACCTCAGAATTTGACTATATTTGGAGATAGAGGAAAGGTTAAATGAGGTCATGTGGGTAGTCCCTAATCCAATATGACTATTGTCCTTATAAGAGGAAAGGACAGCTGGTATACACGTTCAGAGGCAAGGCCATGGGAGGACACAGCAGGAAGGGTAGCTATCTGCAAGCCAAGGAGAGAGGCCTCAGGAGAAACCAAACCTCCTGACACCTTGATCTTGGACTTCTTTCCTCCAGAACTGTGAAAAAAATAAATTTCTGTTGTTTAAGCCATCCAGTCTGGTATTTTGCTGTGGCAGCCCTAGCAAACTTAACACAATACTCATGCACTTTTGTAAAGAGCCTTACCAGGGCGCCACGGTGGCTCAGTCGGTTAAGCCTCCGACTCTTGATTTCGGCAAAGGTCACGATCTCACGGTTGTGAGATCAAGCCCAGTGCTAGGCATGGATCCCGCTTAAGATTCTTTCTCTCTCGCTCTATTCCTTCCCTCCTTTCCCCCTCTCTTTAAAAAAAAAAAAAAAAAAAAAAAAAAATGCTTACCATGATAGCCCTAGCATACTTTTAGAAGTGGTTTGGTAATTACATGAAATTTACTTTGACTCCTACAAATCAATATAATAATTTGTTTTGGTTTTCTTCAAGTAGGCTCCACACCCAGCATGGAGCCCAACATGGGGCCTGAACTCAACACCTCAAGATCAAGACCTAAGTGGAAATCAAGAGTCAGACACTTAACCAACTGAGCCACACAGGCACCCTCAATATAAAAATTTTAATTCATTTTAGAGCCAAGAAATTAAAATAGCTACTTACCAGCTAGAGTATGAAAACAAAATATTTAGACCACTAAATTTCCATATGCCTAAATTAGCTAAGTATTATTCTCAGAGGGCAAAAGCAATTTATAAAAGAAAGAAATAACCATATGTGTGTGTATATATGTATATGTACATACGTGTGTGTGTATATACATAAAATATCTTAGTTATTTTGAAAATGTTGAACAGTTTATGCAGAAGGCTTAAAATCAGTCAGTCACTTAGATCTAAATGTCAGTCTGAACCACAAACCCAAGTAAATGAAGAGATCTCACATGCTGTAGGAGTAAATGACACTGGCCTGGGCCCTCCGGGGTTTATTGGTGGAAGGGGTGGCATGGTGGGAGGTGAGGATCTTGACTGTATCTTCACTTCCACAGGAGATCCAGGCATTGCTGGCACTCTTTTCTCAGGACCAACTATAGAGAATAAAAGTAATGCAGGTCAGAGTCTTCTATAATAAAAATCAAGACAATAATTTAAAATATCAACATATTTTCCTAGAGACTGAGAAGTAAAGAAGATGCTTATTTTAATAGGCTGAATGGTAGCCCCCAGAAGATATCTACTCTAATTCTCTCTTAGCCAAGTTTCACTTTCCACAGTTTCAGTTACCTGCGGTCATGGAAACCATGGTCTAGAAACAGATGAGTCTCCTTCTGATGTATAGTCTAAAGGTCAACAGTAGCCTAACACTAGGCCATAATGACTATGTCTTTCACCTCATCACATAGGCATTTTATTATCTCACATCATCACAAAAAGAAGGGTAAGTATGGTATAATAACACACTGTGATAGAGGGAGGGAGAAACAAAATTCACGTAATTTTTATTACATTATATTGTTGTAACTTCTATTTTATTATTACTTATTGTTGTTAATCTCTTACTATGCCTAATTTATAAGTTTTCTTACAGGTATGTATAGGAAAAAATATATATCATGTATCTCACACACACACACACACACACACACACACACATACACACACACAGGGTTTGGTACTATCTGCAGTTTCAGCTATCCACGCTCACAAGAAAAGTTGGAAAGAGATATACACCGAAGGAAGACTACACAAAGAAGATGTGGTTGTACATGAGAATGCAATGGGACAACAACGGCAGAGACTGGAGTGATGCATCTATAAGCAAAGAAATGCCAAGGACCATCAGCAACCACCAGAAGCTTGGAGCAGGTATGGACTAGATTCTTCCTCAAAGGTCCCAAGGAGGAATCAACCCTACTTGATTTTGGACTTCTGGCCTCCTGAACAGTGAGATTATTATTGTCTTAAGCGACCCAATTTGCAGGAACTTTGTTATGGCAATCAAAGGAAACTAAAACAATCCAGCAAGGTCAAGGGGTAACATGACCTCAAAGTTAACATTGAGGTAGTGGCCGAGGAAGGAAGAAACCAGGTTACAAACTCATCTAAACTGCACTTTTTTTTTTTTAAGATTTTATTTATTTGACAGAGAGAGACACGGAGAGAGGGAACACAAGCAGGGGGTAGTAAGAGAGGGAGAAGCAGGCTGATGTGGGGCTTGATCCCAGGACCCCGGGATCATGACCTGTGCCGAAGGCAGACGCTTAACGACTGAGCCACCCAGGCGCCCCTGCATTCTTTTTTGACTTCTCTTTATAAATCAATCCAATTTGTAGGGGAAAAAAAACTAATGTGGGACTATCTAGACCAGCAGGCATCAATTGCATGGCATGGAAACAGAATCATCATCAGTTATATATAAATTAATATAAATGATGAAGTACTAAATTTTTATATATATAAGTAGGAAAAAAAGAGATGGAGTCAACATCGCTGACATCAGTGATGTAAATATCATTTATGATCTACAATATCAAAAAGATGAAAAGTAGAGCTGAATCTAAACTAGGCACAGGCTACATCACCATGGGGACAATTCATAAGTAGCTGTTTGATTAACAGTGGACAACAAATTCAAGAAAGAGAAATCTGACAGATTAAACTTAATGACATTATAAACAGGTCTGGGCTGGGGCGCCTGGGTGGCTCAGTTAATTAAGTGTCCAACTCTTGATCTCAGCTCAGGTCTTTTTTTTTTTTAAGATTTTTTTTTTACTTATTTTTTGACAGAGAAAGACACAGCGAGAGAGGGAACACAAACAGGAGGAGTGGGAGAGGGAGAAGCAGGCTTCCCACTGAGCAGGGAGCCTGATGCAGGGCTTGATCCCAGGACCCTGGGATCATGACCTGAGCCTAAGGCAGATGCCTAACAACTGGGCCACCCAGGCGCCCCCTCAGCTCAGGTCTTGACCTCAGGGTTGGGAGTTCAAGTCGTGCATCGGACTTTAAAAAAAAAAAAAAAAGTCTTGAGCTAGTATCAATAGGACCTGGTACCAGGGAGTAATACTCTAATATCTTAACAGTTATTTTTCACCATTAAAGAGAACATGTTACATACTTGGTTAATAACAGAGCCAGGGTCACCATAATCATCTTTAAACTGAAAGATGTTCCTTTTAGTAACCTCTAAGCTTTTCGCTTAAGTACTATGCATCTATTCTCCAATGATGGTGAATTCAAAGCATAAGAAATGCACACACCAAAGGTTCAAGCGAGAATGTTAAATCAAAGATTTCCTTCTGTGAGATCAGAGCCATAGACACAATATATTCATGACACTGGCAACAAGGCACGTCTTCACACATTCATAAACATGTCCTAGTGAGAAAATATCACCAAATATTATTTTTATGCTTCAGTCTGCAGTGGCCTATTTTGGTAAGAGATATAATGAATCCATAAAGTCCATCAATGAAGTAGTATCCTCAAGTTACAAAATGTGCAACTGTCTGAGAGCCATGCGGGCAACACTCCGCCAGCTCTTCCCATCTCTCTGTCCAGGACATTTTCTTTGTGAAATTGATGGTCGTCCTGTCTGATTAGTGGAATAATGAGCTGCTGCGTTTGCCTTTTTCTTCTTGACAGTATTTTTCTCAATGCCCTTCAAAGAATGGTTGACACGTTTCCAGCTCTTCCATCTGGGGCCCAGCTTTCTGGAGGGTGGGGGAGAAGGGAAGGAAGGAACTGACAGTTGTCTCACACTATAATGTGTTGTGTATAGTGTGCAACAACCTAGAGGGAGCCTGTCTTCAGACCACCTGCCTTTACAGCAAGGGCGCCAAAGGCCTGAGGACTTAACAAGATGTGTTTTAACATTCAGCACTTGGCAGAATGAAAAACGGAGAGGAGCCTGAGCCCAACTGCAGAACACTAAATTATATACCAACTGTAACCTTAAGATACTGGGCAAAACCCAGCCCCCAGAGTCCTGTTTACAGATTAAAACTACTCATATCTCTTGTTCACATTACTACTCACAAACCTCCAACACTAGTGTCATTCCTTATGTTTCAATAACATCATCTAGTAGAAAAAGCATAGCTATGGAGACTTGAGACATTCAGTGTGAATTATCATTGTTACAAACAACATGGCTTTTATCAAATCATTTCACCTTTCTGGGTCACTGTCAAGAAATGTAAAATGAGAGATAATAAATCTGACCTGTTAGGAAAGATGTAAGGGTAAGAAATAATGCCTAGACTAGTGCTAGGTTAAAGAAGGTACTCAGGAAAGAAAACTGATTAGAAAATAGGAAGCCTAGTGTCAAGTTCTGCATTTACCACCTAATTAGCCATGTGACCATATCCGAGTTACATTATCATTTGATTTCCATGGACAATGGGTGTACTATTAACAGTTAATCCATCTAACCTCTCAGCAATATTACATGGAATGATTCAAGAATTAACAGCTGCAAAAGCACCAAGTACAATGTAAGGTGGTATTTTTGTTGGAAGCTGGGTGGCATGAAGGCACTTCATGGTGTGAGAGAAACATCCAAGTGGTTTATAACCTGACAAATTCAAAAGCTGCTCAGATGGTGGATAAGGTGTATGTTACAAAGTAGGCATTTTCACCTTCTGCTTGGTGACTGTGTCATGCCTCTATGTCATCACTGTTACAGTGACTTTATTTCTAAATTGTGCTGGAAAACAGATACTCATGTTTTATTATATTCTAGCTGAATTCCTTGAAAGAACGAACCATACCTTGAGCTCTTTTCAATTCCAGAGAACCTTAGACACACTTCAAAGACAAGAAATTCCTTTCTCTCAACGGGGACTTTGAGCCCATAAATACCACTACTTGGATTATCAAAGAGAAATAACGTCTTCAGTCCTAGAAACTCATAACAACACTTATTCTGTCATAAAGGTTCAACTTGATTCTAAACATAGATTTTGGGGCACCTGGGTGGTTCAGTGGTTAAGCGTCTGCCTTCGGCTCGGGTCATGATCCTGGGGGTCCTTGGATGGGGCCCTGTGTCAAGCTCCTGCTCAGTAGGGAGCCTCCTTCTCCCTCTCTTGCTCCCCCTGCTTGTGCGCTCTCTCTCCCTCTCCCTCAAATAAAATCTTAAAACACACACACACATACACATAGATTTTAAGATTTAAAGTAACTGATAATTTAGTCATATGAGTTTGTGCTTTGGTTACTTTGAAGACTTGGATATATATAACTTAAAAAATAAAACCTGAACAAGCATTTCCAAGATCACTGATGCTTTAACACCTAACCCTGTAGAACCAAACAATTTGACCTACAGAGGAGGAGGGAACATGGAAAAGTATGTCTGAATAATGATTTTACTTCATCATGCAATATGCTATGCATGTCATGAAAACACAAAACCGGTGAAAGAGAGAGCACATTAATAAACAGCTCTCTGGCCATTTGCAACATGTGGATGGAACATGCTAAGCGTTCATGTCAATCAGAGAAAGACAATTATCACAAGACAGAGCATCATAGGGGAAAGGAGGGAAAAATGAAACAAGACGAAACGAGAGAGGGAGACAAACCATAAGAGACTCTTAATCTCAGGAAACAAACTGAGGGTTCCTGGAGTGGAGGGGGGTGGGAGGGATGGGTGATGGACATCAGGGAGGGTTATGTGCTATGGTGAGCGCTGTGAATTGTTTAAGACTGATGAATCACAGGGCGCCTGGGTGGCTCAGTCGGTTAAGCGACTGCCTTCAGCTCAGGTCATGATCCTGGAGTCCCGGGATCGAGTCCCGCATCGGGCTCCCTGCTCGGCAGGGA